TTATTAAGTACTATAAGCTAACTTCTATTACTCGTATTATAAAGCTAGTTCTAAAGTAGTTAGAGAACGTTAGTATTAGAATCTTCGTACCTAAATAGCTAAAGTAGATTAGCTATATCGTATACGCTCTACTCGAAGTATACTATATTACTCGTATATAACTAAAATACTTATATATTTAGATACTACTTATATATCTTATAGTAGTACTTAATTATAAGCTATAATTTCCTATAAGAGTATTAGTACTCTTAGAATATTTTATATAGTAACTATATTCTAGTCGTCTTTTATATCTAACTCTACTAAGGCCTACTAATACTACTTAAGCTACTAGCGCTAGCTTTACCTTTACTTTAGTAGTAAGTAGAGAGTAGTAAATAAAATTAAGTTCGTAGTAGAAGAGTATATTTAGAGATAGCTTTAGTCGTACTATATTTATATCTATTAGTCTAATTACTATTAATAGACGTTTTCGTACTTATAGTACTCTCTTACTATAGTTCGCGCTAATTAGAGTATTAAGAATACCGAATAGATAATATAATATATCCTCTTCTCGAGTCGTACTCTAGCTATAGACCTATCGGAGTCTTTCTTCTTTACTAAAAGCTTCTAGTAGGTAAGAGTCGTCTAGTATACTCTCGGGAATACTAGTAATTCGTACTATATACCGCGTTAGATAGCGGCCGATTAATAGTAACGATTTTTTATTACGAATGTCCCGCCCCTTATGTCTAATAACCTACTAATCTATAGTTAAGAAAATAATAGTTACTAATACGATTAGCTCTTATAAGGTCCAGCCGCGAGTAAACTACTCGCTGCGGCGGAACTCGTCCTCATCTTCGATGTCGCTTACGTCGGCAAGGTATGCAAGGCAAACCACGGCCTGCTAATACTATTTAAACATCAAGTTAACTGCTTCGGAGAGCTCTGCGTTATTCTTCTAGTCGATACAGTATGTGTCGATCCACAGCTACTCTATATCTAGGACATATGTCTTTATATACCGCACAAACCCTTCTAGCTTCTAATAGCCTGCCTTCTGTGTGTTCTGTCGCTTCTGCACGTCTTAATAGGACGTCTCGGGTGCTGCTGCCCATCTGTGCGACGCGATAGCGTATGCTGGAACATCGGCATAAAACCGCTCGAAAGTGCATATCCGGACGTTCAAGAGTCGCATGGTCGAGATTATTAGAGGGCTAGATGATCAGACGCTCCTACTCGACAGGCAGAATATACGTTACGACACGCTTGCGACGGTGAAATGCGCAGACGCTCCTACGGCGCAAGGCTAAGCAGTGCTCTGCTGCGGAGAGGGCGCAGCCTTGGACCTGCAGATTGTGAGCGCCCTCCCGCGGCGAGGCGTCAAGGTATGGGAGCGACGAGCTTGCTATGCACTACAACATGCATGATTCGTCCTGAGGCTCGATCCATCAATGCGTCTTCAAGAGATCATGGTGGATGAATACCGGTCGAGCAACCGCAGGCTGTATGTTGCGCTGGACGCGCTCACCGCATGACTCGCGGAATGCTGACACATCCCTGAGCAGGGACGCCCAGATTGGAGTCATCGGCTGTTGCGGTATGTGCAGCTGTCGGTCCTGGAACAAATTTTCTTGGCAGTAGCTGTGCTGACATGCTCAACCCTGAAAGTGCAAAGCAAGGAGGGCAAGTCCTGCTGACATGAACTTCAGCCGATCGGCCTTGCTCAGCACTACATCGCTGCCAACTTTGAGCGCGATGAAGTTCACGGCCATCACTCCAGACTGTAAAATGGAAAATGCTCGTGTCAGGTCAGGAAGGCGAGAACAGGCTTCTGCGCTGCGTCTACGACGAGCAGGAAAGCCAGGGATGATCAAGGTGGGCGGAATAAGATTACAAGGCACTCTTCTTGCCGTCGTTACCGCGCGCAGTCCCTTCTCTGTCGTGAGCATTTCGTGGTAGTCCTGCGTGCCTGCTGCACTCGTCATCGTTACTCGCGCTCGTCGTCACGGAGGCAGCGTGGTAGTGTAGTCCTTGGTTTGCCAGGGTATATCGGTGTCAGAGGCGTGCAAGTGGGCAGGCTATCGAGGGCAGCAGCTAGGTATAAAGGAGGGTGTGCGGTGCAAACTCGACGGTAGCACACTCCACTGAGAGATCTCGATGCACGATGCGTCAGATGGTTGGCTGGTCAGACGAATGCAAAGAAAGCGTCGTCATCTGTCATGGCTGCTCGGCATAGCTGTGCAGCGCATCTCACCATCTCTAGAGACGACCCACCGTTCGCCGCCGCTGCTCGAGCATCAAAACCTAATGACCAGCTCGCAGTTTGCCAACATGGCCTAGATCGATTGATGCGCTCCGAAGCGGGCGACATCTTCACAAAGAGCGCGTCGACTTGCGTGATCTGCCGATTCGACGCTGGGAATGCGATACATAAGCGGAGGTTGACTGATGCACGTTGCCGTTACTGTGGACCATCGTCGACGGACGCGGCTCTGCGGGCTCGACCGACCGACCTCACGCAGACTTTAGTCCGATGGCGACGATTTCACGTTCTCGTCGAGAAATGAAGGCAGGCAGCTCGCAACATCTGAGGCACAAAAGGAGCTTGATGCCCGAATGGAACGAGAAAGATCGGGAAGAGACTTTGATGACAGATGGCGGTGGTAGCATAAAGTTCGCGCGCGCAGATTGACAGCCATTTCGAGACAGCTTGCACCTTCTCACCCTGCCTATCGTGTAAGCCAGCAGCTATGGGTACCGGGGCTAGGAAATCCAGCAAAGCAGCATGGGTACCTTTTCGTCCTCTCCGTCCCCTGCTCCATCTCAACGCGATCCGTATAGTCTATAGCGCAGTAGCTACCGTCCACCTCATGGTGCTGGAAACGAACCTATCTCGCTCGCCACCATTGCCGTCGATCTATATCGTACTGCAACCAACATGTCTCCTACCACGTCACGACAATGGAACATGATATACTTCACCGCACACAACTGCAACACGCTGCGGTCAGCGCAGCAAGAGGGCAATGGTGCAACACAGGCTGGATACGGCTATGAATTCTCGCCTCTGCTCATTCACGACATGCGAACAGTACCACCGTACGATTTCTCGTCTTTCAACCTAGACACCAGCGGTTTCGCCATCCTGCAGGACAATCTCGTCCTGCCTCAGATCGACTCCGACTCGTCCATTGCATCGCACTACTTCGCGCATATCCGTGCGCTCCTCCTACGAGCTTTCCCACACTATACTGATATCTTATATTCGGGGCATCTACGTCGCAAACGACATCCGGGATTCCCAAGTGCCCTGCCCAGTGGTGTTGAAGGGGAATCTCACTATCAGCAGCCTTTGACTGTGCCCCATCTGGATTATACTCCCACGAGCGGAGCTCAGCGGCTGAAGCAACTTCTTAATGGGAAGGAACATGCTTCAGCCGTGGTAGATCGCCCGTTCGATCAGTTAAAGTAAGATTCGCGTCCCACAACTCCTACGAAAATACTTATCATCAAATGTGGCTGAAACGATCACAGTGTGTGGAGAGTCATCAAGGGACCGAACAATGACTGGCCATTGGCGCTTTGTGATTATCGTTCCGTGGATCGTGATTCAGATGCGTTGCGCTCTCGCAGCCCCGGCCATGGTAGTAAGTCCGCTCGCATCGCTCGCTGTCTCTCACCTCTTTCGCAGAAGGCTCTCTCGACTATAGGTATGGATCCTCGCTAACATCACCGGATCATGAAGATAGTTCGACGGAGAACTTTTTTCTCAAGAATAACTCTGCTCATCTGTGGTACTACGTGAGCGACCAAACCCCAGATGAGATGATCGTGTTCCGAAACACCTGCTCCGAGGGTCGGACTGAGCCATGTAAGTGTTTCTCAACCCTCGTCTCCGTCGGCCAGAGCTGATACAGACTGGAAAGGGGCATGGCACACGGCCTTTGATACGGGAGACGCCCAAGATTGGTGTCGCGAGAGCATCGAGTTAGTTCTCTTTGCTATTTTGTGAATAATAATAGCATTGCTGTTCTTTGTGCCAACGCCGAAGTGCCAATGCCGAAGGGAGCATTGTCACCACCCACACTCGATGACGGGGAACGGATTGTGATCCATATATCTCGATTTAGATAACAGCAGCAAGCAAACCCTTTCAAGAGGCATGGAAACTTAGAAGCGGGAGAAGAGTGGTGAAACGCGATCGAATATCATTTCTTCCAAACATGACTCCTAGACTCCTACTGTAGAACAAACACAATAACCCCGACGTTCGGCCGGGCGGGTAGCGCCACCAACGGCATATACGTTTTGTTGAAACAGACACGCCGAATTGCACGATCCATGGCAACCTAGTACACATAAAGCGAAGGTTTCTTCACCCCCTTCATGATCGATCCATCCTTGCGAATAATATTCAATTGGGTGACAATGGGTGGAACGATGGTGTTGTTGATGATCGATGTAGTGACGGACTGAGGCGGGCGTTCCTTTTTGAACATGAAGTCCAAGTGGCCAACGAATTGCCTGAGCAGATTTGCTTCCTCGTCTGTCAAGCTGGGCTCTGCTGTCGTGATTGCGTTTGCGACATCAGATAGAGCCACGTTGCCGTGAAGTCTATGATGTAGCAGCGCGAGCTTGACGGCGATACGACGTAGGACAGGTGGTGCTGCATTGGCATTGTACCTGGGGCAAAAATCAGCATAGCACTGCTTTGTCAAACGTCGGAGTCAATTTGTGTCATGACTTACGATTTCGGCGGAGACCATGAGGCGAGTTCTTCACACCAAGACTTTTCTTCTTGAGTGTACGTCTCTACGACGTCCAAGTCTGGGTGACTGATGCGGAAGGCCGAAGTGAGGGCAAGTTGGTATCCAATTGCCATGTCCTTGTAAGCTGGAGGATTTGCTGGCAGCTTCTTCGGAGGAACATAGAGCGTTGTTCCAGCAGTGATTGGAATGTTTTGTACTTTGTCCTGATCGCGAAGGTCCTGAACCTACGACGCAGAAACATCAGATCAGCACCGCTCCGTTCACTCATCCAATCGTCATTTCCTACCGTCATTTTGTCCATTTTCGAATCATGGAAAGGCTGTATGGCGGCTAAGTACGCGATGACTGGATGGTCAGGACCGTATTCCGCTTCCAAGTAGTCGGCGAGCTATGACACACGCTGTGAGCGATGTCCGGTACTATACACGAGCCAAACAAACCTTGTATATCTCCTTATTGTCGAATATCATGGCTTCCTTCCCAACGCAACCAACTTGCCAAATGATCAGATGGTGACGGGAGTCCAGCCTGTTTGGTTCGTTCAAAAGGAAGCTGGCTTCGTACATGGAGCAACCAGAACTAGCAGGATCAATGCCCAAATCTGCGTAGAGGCAATCTTCGGCAGACACTCCTGGCAGCATTTGGGCTTTGTATCCCTCGTGACGAGCAATGTATATTGCACGGTGTGAAGGAGTGACGAAGACTCCAGGATGACCGTAGAAAACGGCTACTGTCAGTTTTCCCTTGCGAACAGAGGAGAGGATCACCTCTGCCATCTGGACGTATGTCGTAACGCGGTTCTATGTCTGAGTCAGGACAATGCTTGCCGCAAGACGTGATCCTCACAGCATAACGGTACCTTTTCGGTATCATAGTATTGATACAAGTCCTCAGCGCTCGGAGCATGATGCTTGATGAAAGTCTCGGTGACTGCATCGAGTGTAGCATAGAATACTTTGTCCGCTCGTTGAATGTAATCCAATGCCTACAGAGAGGTAAGCCGCACATTTCAACGAAGCTGTGGACCGTTACCTGCCTCGACAGTCATCTGACGAATGGACGCGATGCCGGTTCCGACGACAACAAGTTCTCCCTTACCGGCTTCGGTGCTGGGAAAAACATCATGACGAGTGAGCTCATCAATATGATTCCAGATCGAGGTTTGGGAAGGCATGCTTTCAGCTGTAGAGCAGATCGTACTTGTATTAGGAAGATCGACGATTTCGGCCGGCGGATCTCAAATTCAACTGCTTTTATATCACGACTCACTGACAATGCAGAAGCCGCCCTAAGCAGCTCAGAAAGCACGAGTCGGGCGAAATTCAAGATTCAATCTTGCATGGGAAAGTCGGACGAGCACATGCAACAACTAGGGTATTGCTATAGTGTAATTGCCTCATTGCCCTGTGTTGCTAGAGAAGCTTTCCACCAGGGATGTCGGTCCAGTACCTTGTGAAAACCATCTTGTGGACGTAGTAGATGGTATCAGTAAGAAGGTCAGGCCTCGACCTGTTGATCCCAGCCGTTGTCCTGTCACCTTGTATTGAAGACTGCATGAATGACAAGTCCTCTTCAGTGCAATGTGAGAACCGGACTCCTTCACTACTCGTTGCAGTATGTCTTCAGCGAGCCTAAGAGGAGATCAAAACTCTGATGAGCTGTATGATCCCCGTGTCCCTCTACAGTATCGCCATGGGAGCTGTTACAAGGACAAGACTACGTTCATGGTGGACAAGAACATCATTGGAACCTCGTTGATATCAAACCACGTCTTCCGTATGCGCAAGTCGTGGAGGCTAGATAACCAATGGTCCCGCGGCGGCGAGCACAGAGTTATCCGATGTCCTTGGACGCCTGTTAGCTTACTGGAAGATGGGCCTTGGTAATGGGAAAACTTTGCTTGTCGCATTTGTTCGTCCTAAATGGGGACATTCTGAGCCCTCATCATGATGTGGAGATTATTGTGCAGGAGCGACCTTGCGCTATTTGTTCTATACCACAGACTCTTGGCAAGTCTTTGAGACCTTCCCTGGCGCCGCAGGTCGTGCCATATGAACAATGGTACGATTCTGTGAATTTGCCACGCACTTCGGGCACTGTGATGTACAGCATTCTCATCACATGCCGTCAGTCTTTAGGCTAGTCCATGAGCAGGAATTCAGCCAGCGTTTCCACTCTCACGGGCTCTTGAGTCCGACTTTCGAGTCGGTCAGAAATGTTGCCAGGACCTCCGGGCCTGGCAAAGCTTCGCGAAGTGCCAAGCGATGACGATGCCACTTCCGGTCATCCGCCTGTGCATCTTTCACTAGAGCAGGCTAGGCGTAAAAAGTTGTCCCTGCTTTGTAGCCTGGAGAGCATGGTCGGGGCTTACTCCATGGGCTAGGCCTGATGCCAACCCTAGGCTGACCCCGTGGGCGCATGAACCGGCTTGCCGCCAGTTGAAGCTTTATTGGCGAATGGTTGCTAGCACAAATTGGAGACAACAGCTGTTTAACTCAGCCATCCACGAGGTGCGTAAGCAGCACATGCGAAGTATGAACTTTCAGGATGCAGCGCCTAACGCAGCCTTCCGCAACATGTATCAAGGTCCTATTGTCAATCCGATGGCAGGCATTACATCCTTCTACCGCGTGGATCAACAAAGGGGACACAGACAGCTACTGGTTTCTCCGTCGTTACATCGGCGCTTAGACTGCGAACGTTCAGCTTCAAGCTCGCACTACCAAGTCTTTCTCGCACCAACGTCACGGTGCTCTGTGCAATTCTTACGCCACTTCAGCTGATCATATTGGAAGCTCCGTCCTCAAGCTGGTCGGCGAAGAAGTTGCAAGTCTGAGAATGCGTAGCGAAACATTTTTCCTGCTGCATGCCAAACCTTGGAGCCTCGACAGTCTGCTCCTGCTGGTGGGAACAGTAACCGCGGTCCTGGTTGGGGCATCGACTCCCTCTCTTGGCTCAGTCTACAGCCGGTTACTCGATGGGCTGTCCACTCGGGAGGCCGTTGCCTGGACGCAGGTGGAATCGCAACAAGGCCCAGCTCGGCAGTATATCAAGATGATAATGATGATAGCCTGTTGCCACTTCGTCCTCAACTATATCAGTTTGGCCTGCTGGGGTCTGTTTGGTGAACGTCTGACACAGCGTATTCAGTACGCTGCTTTGAGCGCTCTGGTGCACCAGGATCTTGCCCACATTGACGCAAAGTCGCCGGGAGAGCTCGACACGTATCTGGACACGGACATTGACAACATCCGCCGAGGTGTCGGGGAACAACTGGGGATATTGATCTCTCTCGCCTCCTCCACAACCTTCTCGTATGGAGTCAGCTTCTGGGAGTCTCCTACAACGACTTGGAAGATGTCAATGCTGCTTCCGCTGTACCTGCTCTTCCCTATGCTTGGACAAGAGACAGTACTGAGCAGAACAATCGACAAAGGGATCAGCGCGGCATGTGCATTTGCCTCGGATACTCTCTGCCACTTGATGGTGGTGCATGCGTTCCAAGCATCGAGCAGATTTGAAAAACGATTCAACGAGAAACTACGGTCGTTGGACACTACTTGGCGAGTGAGACGCCTCTTCTTTGCCAGTCATGCAAGTCTACTTCATTTCTTGCCTTTTGCTCTCAAGGCAACGGCCGTCTGGCACACTGGTCAGATCACCGTGGGACAGGCGACCGCGGTGTCCAGCAACCTGATTGCCATGTCCTTGACCATTTCCTCGCTCGTTCCCTCCTGGAATGCCTTTACCGCCGCGCGTTCGTCGTATGAGCAACTCCTACCAACGCTGTCACGAAACTCAAAGATTGACGCGAGATCACTCGAAGGCCTGCCCGCTCCAAAATCGCCAGCAGTGCTTGACGTACGTGAAGTCCGATTTCGTTATCCCGATTGTCAGGAGAGATTTGTACTTGATCGCATTTCTTTTCAGATTCCAGGACGTGGCACTATTGCGATCGTCGGCAGCTCAGGAGGCGGTAAGTCAACTCTAGCCAGTCTGGTGTGCCGATTGTATGACCCTATTTCTGGTTCCATACAGCTCGACGGTAGGGACATCCGTGACTACAACATCCGTAGCCTACGAAGTAGCATTGCGTTAGCAGACCAGAGGCCTGTGCTCATGAGCTGTTCGGTTCTGGAAAATGTGGCGCAAGGACTGGTCCGTTGTATGGAGGGATGGCCAACACAGCACGCATTGTCCTCCATGGTTGAACGGGTTCGAAGCGGTCAGACATGGGAGGAAGCCGCCAGAGGCTCAGTTGTGTTGAGAGCCATTGTTTTCCGGGTGGTCGAAGCACTGCAGCTGACAGAGGCTTCAAAATTTGTCTCGGCTCTACCATACGGAATGGCGACTGAAATTGGGCCAGGAGGTGCGAGTTTGAGCGGTGGTCAGACGCAGCAGCTTGCTTTGGCCAGAGCAGTTATACGAAACGCTCCTATACTCATTTTGGACGAAGGTACGTCAAGTTCTGGAACATCTACGCATTGCCACTCAGCTTTGACGATTTCTTGGCAGCAACGTCAGAAGTTGATGCCATGACCGAAAGGAGCATTCAAGACAATCTACGCGTGCGATACGCCGATCGAGCTATAGTCTTCATCACGGTTAGTCTGCCTCATGATATGCATTTGCTGCGCTGACCCACACACAGCACAAATTATCAACAGTTCAAACTTGTGACAATATCATACTCATCGACAATGGCACTGTGGTCGATCAGGGATGCTTTACACAGCTCATGTCAAACGATGGCGCGTTTGCGAAGTTGGTTCATTTCCAGCATATGGAGGCTCATTCTGAACACAGTGACCCAGAAGCCGGCAAAGGGAAGCAGTTGGAAGTGATCAGGCCAGCTGCTCCTCTCACGCACGCCCCGGAACGCAGCAAGCAATCGATCAGTACAGTACCAGCATATCCTCAAATCGTGTCCTTCTTCCGGGAGCATACACTATCTCAAAACTGCTACGTCTGGATAGCAATTCTGGCCACCATGTTACTCAGCGCGTCACCTCTTCTCGATGCGGTCCTCATGGCGAGTGCCCAGACGGCAGTCCCCCATAGCACCACAGCACAGCCCCAGTCCACTAGTGTGAGCCATGCCTACTGCTTGATGCTTGTGGCGACTGGGATGATTGTTTCTGCTACTGGTTTCCTTGGGGCGTATGCGATTGACCGCGTTACCGAAAGCTTTCTCAGCCGTGTGAGAGTGCTGTCTTTACACGCTTTGCTCAATAAAGACCTAGCCTGGCACGATAGCCACCTGAGACTAAGGGACAGTGCATTCGCCGATGCTACATTGCTTGACAACTTGACAGCCACGATTATTGAGCACACCATCGGCGCTGCCGTCTCTTCCACGGTAGGACCAGCATTCGCACATGTAGTTGCTTGGAAGGTGGCTGTCGTAAGTGTCGCTAGATTCGCGTTGTCCCTTGGAAGATGCTGAGCAATGTACTGACTTCTGACGGACAACCTTCAGATGCTATTGCCAACTCTGCCACTTGTGAGCGCAGCCGGGGTTTTGTGCTCCAAGCTGCTTGGCCCGCTCTACGCCCTGCACTACGAGGCGTTCAGACGTTCCATTGATACGAACAAAGCATCTCTCAGCAGAGTCCGTCACCTGATTTGTTTCGGGCTTGAGGAAGAGGCACTGCGGGCGTTCGCGGACAGTCTCGCGGCACACCGAGCTGTACGCTTGCGCAAGGTGATCTACGCCAACTTCTTCTTGGCAGCATCGATGAGCTTCCCACTTTTCGTTCATGGGATCACGTACTGGTGGGGCGTCAAGCAAATCTTTGCCGGCCACTGCAGTGCAGCACAGATGTTCATGGCGCTACCATCGCTTGCGTCTGGAGCTCATGGGTTAGGGAAAATCATGGGCCTTCCTCACGAACTGGCTCGGACTGGCCCAGCTACGACAAGGATCTCGAACCTTGTCGCATTGATACCACGAAAACAGGAGATATCGAACCTAAGCGGCCGTTCCAACGTGGGAACTACTGCATTCACGGTCCACGATGGAGAAGCCCTGCGACGGAGGAAGGTAATTTCATGGCCACAAAACACACCCATCATCGAGCTGAGATCGATACACTTCGCTTACCCAAGCCGACCTACCCGCGAAGTTCTTGGTCAACTGACCCTCACGATCCCACGTGGATCATTTTGTGCCTTCGTCGGCGACTGCGGCTCGGGAAAATCGACGATACTCAGTCTCATCGAAGGTCTGTATGCCCCTTCGCGGGGGCGTGTCCTCATCAACGGAGAAGACATACACGCAGAAGGCAGTGGAATGCATCATTACCGCCGGAGCATGTCTCTGGTTCCACAGGTCAATTCACTATTTGAGGGCCCTGTTGCTTTTAACCTCAATGTTGGATCCGATCCAAGTGTGGAGATGAGTCCCCTTCATAAACTCCAAAGCGCTGCCCGTAGCGCTGGGATTCATGAAGTCATTCGAGCACTTCCATCAGGGTACCAGACTGACTGTGGCACAGTCGGGAGTCGCTTTTCTGGCGGCGAAACGCAACGTCTGTGTAACGCAAGGGCATTGGTGCGTGAGCCCGAGATTCTTCTGCTTGATGAGCCAACAAGTGGTCTTGATAGCCAGTCTGAGGCTCGTTGGAAAGCGCATCTTCATACCGTCAACAAGCAAGATGGGGTGACAGTGGTTGTCGTGGCTCACAAGTTACACACCATACAACGAGCGGATATCATTTTCGTAATCAATCAAGGTCTGTGCGTAGACCAGGGCACTCATCGCGAGTTGCTAGGACGAAGCTCATGGTATCGAAGGAACGTGCTCCAGCAAAGTTTTAGTTGAGCAGATCTCGAAGAAGCATATATGCATGGACAGAACCCTGTCTAGTACATTGGCGTCTTGTCCCTTTGTCGATTTTGAAACTACGTGGACGATGAACAGACGCTATTCGATACAACAATGTCCTATTATCTTGCTAACTTCACGTAAACCTCATGATGAAGGGATCCACTAAAACTTGCGCGTACCCTAGCCTATCAAGACAATACCTCAAGTACATCACGAGGAGAAGTGGCCATGAGCCTTATGTACACAGGAAGCAGACCTCTGCAACAAGGTTTGATCCTACTTGGGGCTTACTGCCGTCGCACTAACTTGGAACTCTCTCGTCGCGGATTCCGACTGGAAACTGTAATTCTATCGCCCGAAGCCCTGTCTATACTCCGCTTCAGAGTCGCCTTTCCTAAAGCAGTATACAAGTTGGCAAAAGTTACTTTTATTAAGCAACATTCGAGGCTGAGGTCACTTCATGCCAACCCCTTGCCTTACCCTTGACACACCGCAGTCGTCGATCAGGCCGAGAACTAGCACAGACGGCCTGACTTCCTAGGGAAGCCCACGTAAAAACAAGCGTATACCATCGCCGGTTTTTTGCCGCGTGAGGACATGCCACAATCGTGCGAAGTTAATTCGAAAATCGCGCACTTCTGATGTGACAAAGTCGAGACAATGTGCCCTGTCTCGTCGAAAGCCGCAATGTGAGGTGGTTCCAATTCATTCCGTCGAGGGGATCCAGGAATATCATCGAAGAAATGCTATCCCCCGCCCAATCATCACCCTTTTATCTACGGTGGAAGACATTTCGACTCCGGAAGCATGAAAAAGTGTCCTTGCTATCCTGCATTAGAACAACTCAGAGCAGTGACTGACATCGGTGCCTTCCCCCGCTTGGAAATGGCGATACTGACAAAGTCTTCTCCAGTGGTCTATGCGAAACTTTCTCTCGAAGTTAGGACAGAATACTTGGGCGATAGAGTTGGCAGCTTTCCAGTGACCCTGAGCGTTCCTTGGAACTTCTGTCGGCCGTAAGGATGTGGAGATGTAAGATGAAATCGTTGCTCTGTGGGACCAGGATAGCAGCCGTACCAGGTCATGCAGACTGTTCAAGGCCTACCAAGAGCCCTATCATGCATTTGCTGTTTTGGAACCAGGAGTTAGTGCTAGGAACCGAAGGCTGACAGTCTGCAGCATCAGTCTATACGCAAGAGCGCACGCTGTAATTTGCGACACACGCAGCTCTGGAGTAGAGTTGGCATTCTCGATGATGGTTGCATTCTCTTGGTTTCTTTGCCTTCTCTGGAACCAATGTGACAAGCCAGTCCAATGGAAGCGAGGATATCACCCGCCAGCAATTCAAGATGTTTATGACTTTATTATTGTTGGAGGGGGGACCGCCGGCCTCGTCGTAGCCAACCGACTCTCCGAAGATACCAACACGTCTGTACTCGTGGTCGAATGCGGAGGTCTTGTAAAGAATGCAACAGCTTACATACCCCAAACATCGAACTTCTATTCTGTTGAAGCCATGCAGCAGGATCTAAGTGTGCAAGAACTTTACCACACCTTCCCTATTGCGCCGGTCGAGCGTTTGGACGGGCTTGTGCTTCCAGTCGCAGTCGGAGCTACCGTAGGAGGTGGAAGCGTCGTCAATGGCATGCTGTTCAATCGGGGCTCGCCCCAGGACTATGATGCTTGGTTGGATCTAGGAAACGATGGATGGGGCTGGGATGATCTTTTCCCGTATGAAATGGAAAGCACTGGTTCAATAAGTTCCCACTAACGCCTGGAAAACAGTTACTTTATGAAGAGCTCCAATTTCAGCCAGCCTAAAAGTCAAGCTAACAAAGATTTCTCAGTGACCTGGAACAAATCGGCTTGGGGCACCGATGGTCCGGTCCATAGCAGCTTTCCGGCATGGCAAGTACCCCAACAGGAGCTGTTTATCGATGCCATAAAGCAGACTCGAGAAGACGTCAGCATTTGGCCAGAAGGGAGCGATGAATCTGGCGTGTCCTGGGTACCAAGCACGCAGAATCCAGACACGCAGACTCGGAGTTCCGCTAAAACCGCCTACTACGACCCCGTTGCTCAAAGGGAAAACCTGAAGCTCTTAGTGGAAGCACGAGTGCACCGCATTGATTTCAGGAACCGAAGTGCGACTGGAGTGTGGATCAGGAATCGTCACTCGACGGGAGACTCGCTGAGGTACATCTCTGCTAGGAAAGAAGTTATACTCGCCGCAGGTCCGGTCTTCAGTCCCTACCTTTTACAGGTTTCTGGAGTGGGTCCGCGTCGATTACTCGAGGAAGCAAAGGTACCGGTCGCACACAAGCACAAATCAGGGATTTCTAGCTGACTGACTTCACAGATTCAACTCGTTCATAACCTGCCAGGTGTGGGCATGAACCTTCAAGACACACCAGTCATCAACTATGTCTGGAGCCTTCCCGGGTACAGAGCTCCGCAGTGGCGAGATTATGTACGCAACGCAACACTCTACCAGGAAGCGAAACGAGAATACGAGCAGAACAAGACGGGTCCATTGACACTATGTTTTGGAAATCTCATCGCTTCGCTTTCCCTTGCTCAGATTGACCCACACCTTGTCGACACTATCCGCACAATTTCGCATACTGACTTCAATGACTACCTCCCAGCCGCATATACGAAGACTGTATACAACGGATACGAAGCCCAAATCCGCACGTTGAAGCAGCAGCTACTATCGCCCACGACTGGTATATACGAGTTTGCCTTCAACGGCTGGAGCACTACATTTTTCAACCTCCTCGAGAAGCCATTGTCCCGTGGAAGTGTGCTCCTTAACACCACATCTCCTTACTCTTCTCCACCAGTCGTGCAGTACAACACACTGTCAAACCCAATCGACACGCTCCTTATAAGCTCTATGGTGAACTACACGCGGAAACTGTTCGCTACGTCAGCGTTGATTAACGAATTCAACCCCGTCGAGATTCTGCCAGGATCGAACTATACAAGCCCCCAAGATGTGATATCGGCGTTGAACCAGCATCGACGGCTTTATCCATCTTGTTCGCACACCAGTGGTGGCTGCTCTATGATGCCGCTAGAGCTTGGAGGAGTCGTTGGCAGCGATTTGAAAGTGCATGGTATTGGGAGACTAAGTGTGGTAGATTCCAGTATTATTCCGCTCCTACCATCTGCACGGCTGGTCCATACAGTAAGTTCAGTCGGACTTAATTGAGTGAATTGTATATTGAAAATATCTTACGCAGGTCTACGCTATTGCGGAAAAGGCTTCAGACATTATTAAGGCAAGGCACTTAATAGAGAACGAAGAGTAGTAGAGACTTCGTACTACTTTAAAGGCATAGCCGGCTTAACGTAGAAGCACGGAACGTCGTAAAGGGGAGCGTAAGAGAATAGATATCTATTCTCTATACGATAGATATAAGTATTTATCTATTATAGGAGCGTCGTCCGCCTTGCCTACGATTTTAGAAACTTATTTTCTAGACGGGCCTAGTCTACCTCTCTAATAGATTATACTACTTACTAATCTAGATACGTATTATACGTTTATACTACTCTTAGAGTAGTATAAACGTAACCTCTATAGTCTAATTATAAGTATTATACTATTAGCTTTTACTAATTCTAGTTACTATATAATAGATATATAGATAGAGATAGATAATTCTTATATACTAGTCTATCTCTTTATAACTAGAGTAAGTAGTACGCTCTATTTATTTTAGTCGAGAGAAAAGTCTTTAAAAAACTCTTATATTTCTTTTTACTTTATACTAAGAAAGTAATATTACTAGTTCTTCTATAAACTAAAATCTATATTTTAGTCCTCGGCGATCTAATATATTCTAGAACCTAGTAAAGTATATAAAATTAGAGCTAGAAGCCTAGAGGTAATATAGTATAATATTTATAGTTCTACTACTAATAGAAGAACGAAGCTAATAACTCTTTTCTCTATACTAAGTATAGTTCTTTTATAATTAGTAGTACCTCTCTATAGTCTTTTTATAAGTATATACTTAAGCTTATTCGATAATCTACTATTTTGCTTAGTATATTAAGTAAAAGAGTATATTTAGAGAAGTAACTAAGTTAGATTATATTATAAATCGGTCCTTAGTACGATATAATTCTAGAATAAGATATTCTAGACGAGAAACGCTCCGGAGTATAAAGTAGTTCTATAGATTATATTTAGTACTCTTTACTCTCGACTCGAAACTTATAGCTCGTATATAGATATCTATCTAGTCTAGTAAGTAATATAATAAGGACTATAATAGTCTTTACTATATTATTTACTATATAGGTAGTATCTATCTATAATAGGTCTTAACTAGAGATATATAAGAGATTAGAAGTAGTAAATAGAGCCGCTTCTTAGGTCTTCTCTATATAGAGTCTATAAGATAGTAAGTAATATTATATATCTCTAAGGATTAGTATAAGATATTATATTCTACGTTTAAGTACTATATATATAAAGATAAATATTCGCGTTCGAGTACTAAATCGGCTTATTATTCCTTTCTACTAATAGATAACCTATAAGAGCTCTCGTAGCTCTATCTAACTCTAATAATACTTTTCGTAGTTCTATTTAGAGCTAATAGAATACTCTATATTCTTCTTTTCGGCGCGACGTAACTTCTTACCGAGCCTATAATAGAGAACCTAAGCTAGAGTCTAGGAACTACCTACCTCTATATTACTAAGATAGTAATAAGAGAATTAGCTTCTATTATATATCGTAGCGTTACGTATCTTAGATTCGGTCCTAGGTATAAGTTTATATATAATATACCTCGAGAACTATAGCCTAAGATCTTACTACGACCGAACTATAGAAACTACCTCTAGATAATTAGTAGCGCTATAACTAAATATATTCTCCTAACTATAAATAAAAAGTAAAATTTCCTTATTAATCTAAGCGAGATACTTAGTAATTTAATCTGCTATATAGATAATAATACTTTAGAAGAGTAGAATTTTAATAAGACCTAATAGGACTTCTAATATACTATATTTAAGCTAGTATAGTACTTAAGCGTTTCGTAATAAACTTATACCGAATTTCTAATACTCTTATAGATAGCTATAGATAAGCGCTAAGTAATAGCTAGCGTAGCGACTAGCTAGGAGTCTCCTATATATTACTTCTAAGATATAAACTAATTTATTAAATAGTCGAATAAGTAGATAGATAATAATAGATACGTACTAATAGATAATTAGGCCTCTATCTTATATAAGATAGGAATAGATATATATACTATAGGGACTCTTTAATTAATAACTTTATAATAATCGCTAAATTAGACTTTATATCTCGTAGAGACTAACTTAACTACTAAAAAGTAAAAGCTAGAGAAGGAGTTTATATCGAGATCTTTCTATAATATAGACGATATATAAAGGTACTATCTATATAGAGAGTATATAATATATAATTATCTATTATTAATATAAATAGCAAAGACGAAGCAACCGCTAGCGATAGCTAGCAAACTAAAGAGATAGATAGGAGGGCCTCTAGTAATAGCGGCGGGAGAATAGATAGTTAACTAAGGCCTCTACTAGCGACGCTAAAGGTTACTCCGAAGGGCGCA